AGTGATTACAGAGGGATGTGGGAACCCAGTAAATTCCTCTGGCTGCCCTGGAGGACTCCAGCCCCTGCCCAGGAGGCTCAGAGACCTTGGCACAGAGCCCAAGACCCCTGAGCCTTTGATTTAGCCCTTGGAAAAAACAATTACCAACCTGATATGAAGAACTACAAGCCACAAAAGTTTAAATAGAATGATGGTGAATTTATCACAAAGTGAAAAATAGATTTTTTAGAGATTTTAGTATAGAAGTTCAAGGAGCAAGATAGAAGAATCTAAGCATGTCCAGCCTTTCTCCTTCTTCTTATTGGCCTCCATCTTCTGCTTTGATGTTGGCATTTTTAGATTGGTTTAGAGTAGAAGCTCACTGTCTAACATAGATGAAAGGTATTGGAAAGTAATTCTAACTATTGCATATGTAGTTTTTAGGATAAAAAGATAACACTGTCTGGGGCAGGCAGAGTGCCTCTGTCTGTCCTGCTGAGCGGACCTCAGCTGAACAGGAGAAAAATTTACAGATAAGATATGATAAACAACCTTAAGACGGGGAACTGAAGAGTTCAAACTCCTCCTTCAACCACTGAGCTACGAAAGAAAAACTTTCTAACGTATCTAAAGTCACTCTGAGCAGGTAAAAATCCCAAGAGAGGGAGATCCCAGCACCGTGGGGATGTCCCAGGGAGCTGAGCACGTTCCCAATCCCACCACGGAGCCAGGAGCAGAGGGCAGGGTCCTTTCCCCAGTAACCTGCACAGATCCTGCTCCTGCTGTCCAAAGGCTCCTGGGGTGTTGAAAGCTGAAGCCTTACCACCAGAAAATTACTCAAGTACATTTTAATAATGTACAGCCATAGGTCTTACGTGATTTGTTCTCTAAAGATTGATTTAGCTTCTTATTAAGGGAATTGGGAATTCAGTGTGAAAATCTGAACAAAATCTAGGCGATTTTTAGGGTTTTTAAAATATCCACTAGTGGAACTCACCAGGGAGAAGAATTTCAAAGCCTGTCCAACCCTATCTTGAATTTTTGATTCTCCTGCTTTCTTATTGCCATTCCCAAGGTATGCTTGTTAAGAAAGAACACCTCAGCATTATTGTATTATTTTTAAATAAGCCACAATAACTTTAAGGAGCTCAGGATAAAAAAAATCCTCTAATAATTTGATTTTATATTCCTCCCCCTCCAGTTTTCAGAAGTTTGGTAATGCCAAATGTGCACTGCATACAAATGGCAGGGCGGGCAGCTGTAATTGCACACAGAGAAGGCTTTTCCTCTTTAATTACCCCTGGAATTGTAAAGGGATGAGCTGCAGCAGAGCTGGCAGGGCCAGGCCCTCCAGCAGCAGTGTGGGGCTGTTCAGGAGGTGCCTGGAGCTGGTTCCTCCAGTGGGGCAGGTGTGGGGGTCTCATCCTGGGGAGCTGTGCAGGAGGGACCCCAATGATGGCAGGACGTGGTGTGTGCTCAGGGCATCCTTTAGGGTCATCTCCAGGGACAAGGACACATTCTCTGTTGGGTGATGGCATCACAGGGTCACCACCATGGGTATCCAGCAGAGTGGGGGTCTCATCCTGGTGATCTGCACAGGAGGAATCCCTGGTGGCAGGACATGGTGTGTGCTCAGGGCATCCTTCAGGGTCATCTCCAGGGACAAGGACACACTGCTTGGTGAGTGATGGGACCACAGGGCCACCACCTTGAGTATCCAGGTATCCAGCAGTGTGGGGGTCTCATCCCAGGACATGGTCTGTGCTCTGGGAATCCTTGGTGACACACACAGTGTCATCTCCAGGGACAAGGACACATTCCCTGATGGGTGATGGGACCAAAGGGCCACCACCTTGAGTATCCAGGTATCCAGCAGTGTGGGGGTCTCATCCTGGGGAGCTGCACAGGAGGGATTCCCATGGTGGCACAACATGATCTGTGCTCAGAGCATCCTTCAGGTCATCTCCAGGGGCAAGGACACCCTCCCTGATGGGTGATGGGACCACAGGTCACCACCTTGGGCACCCACAGCATCCCCACAGCCGGGTGTCCCTTGCCTGGTGCTGCCCAGGGCTCCTCTGGGGTCAGGCTGATGCCAATGTTTTCTCCACACAACAGTCAATGAGCTGCTGAGGTGTTGTTCCTCCTCAGACTGCTCCAAAATGCCTTTTCTCTTCTCTTTGAGATTTTGTAAACTTAAAAGAGAATCACGAAGAAAAAAAATGTTCTCCTCTGTCCAGCCCATTAATTCAGCCTGCTCAGGACAGAATTAACCTTGGCAAGCCTTGCAGAGGAGAGAGTCGTTCTAACCTTAAAAATCTGCTGATTAAAGCTGGTTTCTGGAATTCGATTTCACTTAATGCATTGGCTGAGTGCCCAGCCTGGCATTAACATCTCCACAGACACACAGGCCTCTGCAGCTTTTACCTTCCCACTAAAAAAGAATTAAAAAAAAATAAAAGAAAACACAGCTAACGAAACCCCCTTTGCCTGTTTTGAGCAAGAATTTATTTTAAAGGCTGCTTTAGCTGAAGGTATTACTTCTGCCCTGGTTGTGTGTCTGCTCTGGCTGGGCAGGGTGGTGATTCCACTCTCCTCATTGGGTGCAGAGGGTGTTGAGCTGGCTGGTTGCTCAGAGCCCTGGGTCATCCTAGAGCCAAAGGCTGGGGTCAGCAGCTCTGAGTGCAGGAATATCCAACACCCACCTCCCCACAACGTGCTGAGCTGCAGATTTTGTGTCATCCACAGAGCTTCACCCATTCATCTTGAAAATCCTCCAAAACAATGACACACAGATTTCCAAGTATTCTATTTATGTCCTCAACTTTTTCTTATGCATTTTTACCTTTTTCTACCTTCCCACTAAAAAAGAATTTTAAAAAAATGAAAGAAAGCAGCCTTTGCCTGTTTTGAGCAAGAATTTATTTTAAAGGCTGCTTTAGCTGAAGGTATTACTTCTGCCCTGGTTGTGTGCCTGCTCTGGCTGGGCAGGGTGGTGATTCCACTCTCCTCATTATTTGCAGAGGATGTTGAGCTGGCTGGTTGCTCAGCAGCCCTGGGCCATTCCAGGCAGGGGTCAGCAGCTCTGAGTGCAGGAATATCCAACACCCACCTCCCCACAACGTGCTGAGCTGCAGATTTTGTGTCACCCACAGAGCTTCACCCATTCATCTTGCAAATCCTCCAAAACAATGACACACAGATTTCCCAGGTTTCTATTTATAGCCTCAACTTTTTCTTACGCTTTTTTTACCCCAAAATTAATGTCGTTTTTATTGCTGTCATCACTCATTTTGTGTGCTGGGCTCCCAGGGTCTGCTTCACCCCTGCAGTGTTTCTCTGCTGCTGTGGGGATAATTCCTCCTGTCTCTCCAAGGCCAGGATCTTGCTCACTTGTGTGGGTTTCCTTCATCCCAGCTGCCCAGGTTAAGACATCCAGCCTCAAAACATCCATCCAGTGGGGAGGAAAAACAAAACAGAAAAGAAAAATTTAAGAAATTCCTTCTGTGCTCTGTATGCTTTTTGATTTCTGTGAGCTGTTAGGATTTTTTTTAATGGTTTGCTGAAATGTTGAGAGCCAGTTTCATGAAGGTGGGAGGCTTTTGTGTGATTCATTATTGACAGCTCTGGAATTATCTGCGAGACAGCTCTGGAGAGGGAGGGCAGAGCTCCTGCCTGCTGTGCCCCACGGGCTGCACAGAGCCCAGCCTTGGCTTTTGTTTTAATCAGGGCAAAGTTTCCATCGACTCCACAGCAAATTGGGCTGGGAAACAAGTCAGGGGGGCTGGAATAAATTGATAGATATCTCACAAGGTGGTCCCTGGCTGCTGTGAGGCTGCTCCAGCATCTCCAGACCAGCTTTGCCATCCTCACTGGTTGGACTGGGAGATGCTGCCCCTCTCAAGCTGCTTTCTGGAGCTGGGGGCACCAGCTCTGAGTCAGCAGAACTGAGCACTGCAGACCTTTCCATGCAGTGCCATGTGCAGGAGTCACTGTCAGGGCAGCTGTTCTCCAACCCTCGGGAGGGATTTAAATGTTAAGCTTTTCTTTGGATTATTTTCTGCAGGGCTTTTTTCCCTGGTCTGTTTTTCCTCCCTGCATTTCAGTGTGTGGAATGTACCCTTGACACATTTTAAAAAAACATTATTAATCTTTGTCATTCGTGTTTTAAAAATAACTCAGTGATAGCAGCCAGTCCTTAAATCCTGTTTAATTCAGGCCGACCTTGTGAGCAGTGATCCTGGGGAGGGGGAACTGCTGCAGCCCCATGTGCTCACTGAGTGCACGTGTCCCCCTCTGAGTTCGGGATCTTTGCAATTAAAACCAGTTCTGTGGGTTTGGGTTGGCACTGGGCTTGGTTTCCAACCAAAAAGTTCTAACATAGTGGAAATGTGGGGTTTTTAATGCAGAAAGAATTCCTCGGCTTTGCTGATTTCAGTTAATCAGAGAAGCAGAATTCATTTAAAAAAACCTCAAAAACCACAAAGAAACCCCCCAAAAAAAAACAAAAAGAAAAAAAGAAGAAAAGAAACAAACTGTATTTTGGCATTTTGCTGTCTAAAATATCTGACAGCAATTTCTTCAGTTTACAAACACAACGTTTTCAGTTGAAATACCCAGGAGATAAACCATGGAAAAAGAGATGAATGTGTTGTATTTGCAAAAAAAAAAAAAAAAAAAAAAAAAAAAAAAATACAATGGAGCAAAGATAGAAAGAAAGATAGAAAGGCCAGACCAGCCCGGTCTGTGTCATGGGACTGAGCACCCCAGGAGCCCCTGCTGGCTCTGGGCACCCTTGGGTGAGGGTGGCATGGCAGGGAGGGGTTTCTGTGACCTATGGCAATGCTTACAGTGCTTACACCAGGGTGTAAACCACAGTGCTGTCTGTGCATCACCAGCCCAAGGGCAGAACAATTTCCTCCATTTGTGGGTCTCTCTGCTGCCCCATCCCCAGCACGGCCTCTTTGGGGTGGTTCCTGCACTAACCTGACTGTGCTTTCTCTCTCTTTTTGTGTCCCCAGTGCCTGTATGGCTGCTATGTCCATTCCTCCATCATCCCCACGTTTCACAGAAGGTGCTACTGGCTTCTGCAGGTAGGATGACAACGAGTTCTCTCTCTGGGGTCACCTGGTCAAGCTGCTGCCAGGGGGGATCAGCATCCTGGGATTTACTGTCTGGGGGGTTTTGTTTGTGTGAAAGGGAATTGGGTCTTCTCAGTTGTATGTCTCTGTTTGGAGGGATTATGTATTTTCTCTAGCAATACAGAGCTGATGCCAGCTCATATGTTCTCTAAACATGGAGTTGGCTCAAGTGAGACTTTCTGGAGGTTTCTGGTTGTGTTGTTCGATCCTGAAGCAAGGCAGGAGCCAGACAAGTGAATGCAGGGTGCTACAGTGGCATACTGTGGCATACAGTGGTGTGGGAGAGATACCAGCCCTGGGCTGTGCTTGACTTTGAGGAGAACCCTGGGGCTGTGTTTGAACCTTGGAGCTGGCCCTGCAGTGGATCTGCTTTCCTCCAGTGAGATATTTTGTCTCCAGGGAGCATTTGAAGTCACTCAGTGATTTTTTCTTCTGGCTGTTGTGGGAACAGCAAAGTCCCAGGAGGAGTCAAGCCAAATTTTCCTCTTATTTACACAGGGTTTGGGCAGCTCCCCTGGGGCTGTGGGGGTGTGCAAAGGATCTCATGTGGGAATTTGCCCGGGGGGTGTTTGCTGACCCCACCTTTGAGGAGCTGTTCACATTCTTGACTGGTTACTCTGGTGTACAAAGTGGAAGTAATTTGTTTTCTTTCATTATGAAATGGCACTTGACATGTACTGTAAAAATATTGTTTTAAAGATTAAACTCCCATGGTCCTGAAAACAAACAAATCCGAGGAAAGTGGCATCTGTTTCTAGAAGGAAATGGAAAAGAATTCCTGTTTCTCTTCCTGGTTTTGCAATTGCACTTCCATATTAAAAAAAGAAGGCAGTGCTGCTGTCACTGGGGCAGGACAGAGCCCTCAACCCACAATGGACATAATCCAAGGAAACACTCAGCAGATGTCACCCTCCTCTGTGATATCTGTGTGTTCTCAGCTCTGTTTGCATCTGTGGCATAAAAATGCTGTGTGCAAGGAAAGAGGAGATGCTTGGCTGCAGTGGTGGGAGAGGAGAATTGTGGCTGAAATCCACAGCGTGGCTGCATCGATCCCGTTCCCTCCCAGCTGCCCAGGCTGTGCTTGTCCTCCTCGAGAGCTCCTGGCCCCAAAGGTCACCTCTTTTCTCTTCATTTCTGAGCTTTGTGTTGCTTTTTCTCGTTGTGATGTGCTCCCTGGAAGTGCTGCTGGCCCTGGCTGCTGTGGCTCTCAGCCAGCAGCTCCCTGATGGGTTGCACTGCAGCACTGTAGGATCTCTGAGCTGTTCCCCCGGGTCTGGCTCTTCACTTCCACAGGGTGTGCATCAATGTTTAGTCATTTTCTTTGCTCTGGTAATCACTTTTTGTCAAGAGGATAGGAAGTACATTTCTTAGAAGCCTATTTATAAAATGTGCTGCGGGACATGTCGCTGTGGCTGTGGTAGACTGGTATTCCTCAACAAGGACGTGCTGTGCCTTGGCTGTGGGAGGAAGAGGAGGGCTCTGTGATTCATGGCAGCATCTCCAGGCACCGACGGGCATCCTTCAGTCATGAGCTCAAGGTTGTGCAGCCAGCAGAAAGGAGCTGGCCAAGAATAGATGGCACTTCCCTGTCTCTGCACACTGCCTGTGCTCAGCTCCATGGTGAATTCAGGAGCAGCGACACCACAGAGACAGAAGGTGTTTTGTGCATCTCCTTCAGAAGCTTTCACTGGTAAATGAGTTTGATATACAAAAATAGGTGTAGCCAGGGTGTTAGCGTTCAGAAACACATAATCACAGAATGATTATATGCAGATGCTTTTATTGAAGAGCTCTGGGTGTCAGGGGTACCAACCCAAATCTGACCCCAACATGGGTTTGGGATGAACATGTTTTTATATTCTATTGTTATATAACTTTCATGTTAGTTATTAAATTTATATTGTTCTATTGTATACATAGATTTCATCCAAGCATGGGGTCTTCGTGGTCCCCCTCAAACTTGTAACATAGTTTCTCATGATTCTTCTTACGATTAAACAGTAATTATATTTAATTACTAAGCAATCATCATATCTAACAATTATATCATTCATCATATACTGCTTACGCAGGTGCAATTTCACATGATCTGGCAAACACAAACCCTAAAATTTTCAGAGTCTTATCTTTAGCATTTTTCCAGGGCCCCACTAAGTCTAGCTTCTTTCTAATTCCCTGAATTTTATGATTTTAAAACCTTTTACTATCAAGGGCAATGTGTAATATGTTTAGCTTTAAAGCTCACTGAGGCACATGGGTGACTTTCCCCTTTTTGGGGGGACATCCAGCACCTTCCTGGGACTCTCTCTGTGCAGTTTCTGGTCAATGAGGAGTAAATACAATTAGTCTGCAATGCTGTCTATGTTTTATGGGATGATCTTCCTCCAAATCCTACTGTCAGGTTAGATATTGATTAAAAATCCCCACACAAATGTTCTTGATCTTTTCTGCTTCACATTTTCAGCATAAAGGCCAGGACTCAAAGCAGCCACAGGGGCTCACAGCCTTTCTCATGCATTTACACAGCACCGTAGCCATTAATTATATGATGTCCAATTTCTTACTTAAACAACTTTGTGTTGTCATTTATGACTGACATGATGTGCCTGCTCCCTGCAGACTGGTCAGAGGGATGAGAAATGAGAGCCAATCATCTGGAACTGCCTGATTCAGTTTTCTGGGTCTCTGCTGGAAGTTCTTAGGCTGTGGTGCTGGCAGCTGTGGCTGGGTCTGCTGCATGGGGCCTCCACCTCATCTCTCTTCTGAAGGGGTTTCACATTTTTGAGACATTTCAAGCTTTCTTGATAACAGATTTTAAGTGCCTTACCCCACAGACCTTTAGTATTTGTCATAGGTGCTGTAATTGCCAACATTGACACATTCCTGCTGGACATGGTCCCAACCCGGGCACTGGCAGCCTCTTGCATGGATGCTCTCTTGGCCACTCACTCTTGGGCCTGAATGAAGAAAGCATGCCCAAGGTGGTGGTTTCCTACATTTAGTTCTCGTATTTTTGTTTTGATTATCTGATCTCTAGAAATAAGAGATCGTGCTGAGTGACACAGAGGAGAAGATGGGCATGAGGACACGGGCAGCCTCTTCACTGGTTGCTGGGGAATACCTCAGTAAAACTTCACTTTTTTATTGTTTTACATTATCTGTTTGCTTCTGAGAAGATGCAGAGCCCTGGATGCCCACAGTTCACTGAGTGTGGAGCAGAGCTGCTGAATTATTTTCTGAGATGGGGGTGATGGCAGGTCCCAGCCCCCTGCAGGGCTGTGGCACAGCTGTGACCCTGAGTACCTTGGTTTGTCACTGGCAGGACTCAGGCTGCCCATGTTAGACCTTCAGCATACTACCAGATCTTGTGTCAATGGAAAAAGAAGAAGAAAACCCCTTGTTTGTACTTGTACTGACTAATGGAGGGAAAATGTGGATTCTCAGACATGGATGATTTTCAAACATTGGCACAGCTGAGCAGGGAGATGCAGAGTTCCCTTCTGTGTGTTGGAAATTGGCACCCCAGGAACTGAAAATTAATCTGGCTGCCAGGCAGGCTGCTGCTTGCCAGGGTTACAGAGGCTTTGCCTTCACCCATGGGCTGTGATGGGCCCCTTGCTCACTCCCACTCCTGTGCTGCACAGCTGCAGATGCTGGGTTTGTTAGAGGCTCATTGTGTTCCACCTGTAGCAGGTACTGATGTCTCCTTCAGGTGCTGTGGGAATGGGAGGGAATACATATTTAAAAAATATCTTAATAAGAAGTACATAAACTGTGCTATAGGATCATGCTAAAAACTTGTAAATTTAGACCTCTTGGCCAGTTAAACAAATGAAGACTAACAAGAGAGGTGGCAGAGAGCTGTTTCACATTGCACATGCATTAACTGCTCACTGAATAATTCAGAATTGGTGCAGAAGAGTGGCAGGTGAGCCAAGGAACAGAGTGGGATGCAGGCAGGCACAGGGACACAGCAGAGCTCCACAGAGCCCTGTTGTAAATCCAGTGTTTGCAGTAATTGCTGAAATGTGATAATCCAGTTCTCTGGGAGCCTGGGGGGAAACTGCATTTCATCTTTATTGCTCATACACGCACAGGATGCTCCCAGCAGCCATGGAAGTCATGGAATAGTTCTCTGTAGGGTTGGAAATGGCAGGAGAAAGTCAGGGACAGCAGCAGGGACATGATGGCAGGTGTGACATCCTGCCTGCCACAGAAGGAGCGAGTGGGAGATGCTGGGGGGGCACTGGGGGTGGGCAGTGTTTGGGTAGTGGTATTTAATTACTGTTCCTGTGGCTCTGTGTGCACCAGCTGTGCCTTGCAGAGGATATGTAAGCACTGATTGAATGGCAGAGGCTTTTGCAATATTCTCTCTTTACTCTGTTGTTTTTCTTCCCCTGAATTCTTCCTTTTGATACACTTGAATATTCAGCAGTTTGTTACTATGAGTGTCTGCACTGATGCTTGATGCCCCCTGAGTGTGTTCCCTTCCTAAAATACATCTTGTCTGAAAGCTGTGGGCAGAAAATATCAAGACCTAAAACTCATTTAAAATGTTCTACATGACATCTGTCACTGTCCTGCATAAATTTCCTGTTTGTTCTGTATTTTTTTGCCATGGTTTTCCATTATGCCCTAAACAAGAGGAAGCCCTTCCCATTTATTTTTGATAGCACCCAGTCAGAGCAGCATTTCCCTCTCTGATCACTTGTGCTGTGCTGTGTCAGCAGCATCTCCTGCCTCCCTGGCTGGAGCAGCGACAGACAGCTTGAGGATTTGGGGCTTTTTCAACATAAATTGGAAGCATTACAATCTCATAAAATTTCTCAAGACTTTTGCTTAGTAATGGGTTTTTATTTTTCATTTGGGTGAAATAAAAGTGGCTGGGCAATAAAGCACAGAGAGTGCTGTGCTGCACATGGGCACTCAGCTGGGTCCTGTGTGTTGGGGGG